AAAAAAAAAAAAAAAAAGGCCTGTACACATTCAGAACAAAAACAAAATGCTAACAGAGTAATCAGACAGCCCTGCTGTCTTGGTGCTTTAAACAGTAGGCTGGTTTTAGTCACATGTTTCCTCACTGAAATGCTGAGGGGAAAGGGAGAGATAGTAGCACCAGAATTTTTAGAAGCATCTATGGAGCATTCCTGCTCTGCAGTGCAGCAGCTGTTTGCACAGGCATACCCAACCTCAATTTCCCCTGGCTTTCTCAGGCACATACTGATCTTGACTAGGGCATGCTGCCCACATGGCTTCTCGGAGAGATGCTGCAAAGCAGCCTGACTGCCACAGGTCACAGCCCATGCTACCCAGCCAGGCTTGTGGATGTCTAGCCCAGACACATTTTTATAAATCCTGCTCACACTCCTGTCATACTAGCATCTCAGCATGTGTCCATTTGAACAATGCTATTTATATTAATACTGTGGACTATTTCTTCTATGCCAGCTCAAAAAGGGACAGGAATTGCTATGGTGAGTTAAAAAAAAAAAAGGAAGATGGATGGAGTGCCACCTGCTTCTGATATAATCACTGTTAGGTATATGCACCTGAGGTGGCTAGAAATCCACACTTGAAGTCCTGGCAACAGGAGCAACCCCTCTTTTCTTCTTTCTCTTTTTAAAGAAGTTTACTTGTTCTCTGTCTCCTTCCTGCTAGTCTACTCCTGTTTGCCTCTTTTTCCTCAGCCTAAATACTCAGGCTTGTTGCAGAAGCAGGAGAAGAAAGACAAGAATGGGATGGCAATGGCAGACTCACCATTAGTTTAATTGATGCCACTTAGACTCATATTCAGAATAAGTTTATTTTCCCAATTAAAAGATAACAGACCATTTTAGGAAGTGTAATATTTCATTTGGATTTCAGCCATATATAAAAATCCCACATTTAAAAATCAATTAAAGTTATGGAGAAGATTATCCTGGTGGATAATGAAAGACAGTTAAAGAATAAAGTTGTTATCAGATGTAGTCAACATAGGTTCATCACGGGCAAGTCCTGCCTGAATAATTGAATTTGATAAGGTCACCTGCTTGGTGGATGAAGGGAAGGCAGTGAACATAGTCTCTATGGATTTCAGTAAGGCCTTTGAGCTCATCTCTTATGGCATCTTTCTGGACAAATTGTCCAACTACAAGTGAGGATGCATTCAACTGCTGCAAGTTTGCTGATGGTACTAAACTGGAAGGTGTTGTTGACTCCCTGGAGGGACAAGAGGCCCTGTAGAGGTATCTAGATAAATTGGAAAACTGGACAATCATCTATGGCATGAAGTTCAACAACTGAAAATGCTGGGTTCTGCACCTGGGACAGATGTACAGACTGTGAGATGAGTGGCTGAATAGCTGCTCAGCAGGAAGGGATCTGGGGGTGCTTTCAATCCTGCAGGTTTGTTCCTGTAAAACAGGCTGCTGTTATGCTGCTCCAGTCCTTTCAGGTCAGGGCTGCATCTACTCCCAAACACACAGGCTGGCTCAGTGTCAGGTTTACATAATGGGATTATGAGAAACAACACTGAAACAGATCCTTAAGGGAATGAGAGAGAAACATAAACAAAAAGCTACCAGTGACATTCAGTCCTTACTGATTTTATCTGGAGGTTCAAAGGACCATCTAGCAGCTTCAAAAACCACCACAGTGAACCATATTCTGGCTCCACAGAGCTTTTCAGGTATAAAATGGGGCTGTAAGACCAGTGCTTAAAGCCATTAAAAAAAAAAGTATTGTCTAAATCCTGGAAAAAAAAAATACCCGCCTAGATTAAACAGCTAACTGCAGATGACTAGGAGCTAGTCAGACACAAATCATTCTCTCTCATTTTCCTATTCTTTCCTCCCCCAGTTTTCATACTAATCTTGCAGTCTGTTGGATCATTAATTCCCTGTAGGCAGTCTACCTTCAGTAACCTCCAGAGAGCTGGCCTGCTCCAGAAACAGCTCAGAAGAGGGACCATTCTCAATTCTCCCACTGGAGCACATCCTGCCTTGCAGGCAGGCTCTTCCCACCTAGCCAGGCAGCTTTCCCAGCTCTCAGAAAGAAACAAAAAGGGTGTTCATGCAATGCCTCCTATGAGCCACATAGAAACAGCAAGGACATAGCCCAATGCAGTCTCAAGCTGCAGCAGTCACCAAGGCATTTTTACCTCCGTCGCCTTCTCATATAGGCTGAGACCAGTAGCACCAGAATCACTGCAGCTACAGCCAGTAGAACCACCCAGCTCCTTTGCTCCTGCACAGAGCCGTGGGCTCTTGCCTTCCCCTTGGCCACTAGGAAATTACTTCGTCTTGGCCCCTTGAGCCACTGGGCACAACAACAACACCATCTTGGGTATGAACCAAGGCATGTACCCCAGTCTGTCAGGGTGAAACCTTCCTCTTGTGTGTGCCTCTGACACAGCTAGACTGAAGATAAAAATCCCCACTAAGGAACAATGAAGCAATGGACAGCACTGACTACAACCTTGATGCTGTGAGACCACATTCTGTTTTTTAAAGCTGGAATCTACGGCTAGATTTACACACATATGTGGAAAAGTAGGAATTTGTTTGAAGGAAAGCTCATGTAGCTCACGAATTAGCTCTGAATTCAGAAATTCTTATACCCATGCCAATAATAATTGCTTTAAATGTTATGTAAGTACAAAAACACCTTGGCAAATCAGGAAGCTGCTTAAGAGTATTTAAGAACAAAAATATTAAAAAAGCACTGACTGAGTTTAATCCATGAGAAGGGACATCTTCCTGATGAGAAAAGGTGAAAAGGAACAACCATGAAAGGAAGACATCATCTCCACTGAATGAGTGAAAGTAATTGTTAAACTTTGAATGTTAGGTTATATTTCCTTCTGTACAGAGTAATACCTACAACTTGAAATCCTGCTTTGCATTTATTTCAGTTGTGATCAACAAGGTATTTCAGAAGACAGGTTCCGCCAGCCCAACCTCTGTTCCACATTAATATCACAATAGTGCTCAGGAGCACTAATGGTCAGATGCTTCCCTCCCTGGGCTAGGAGTGTCAACTGAAGCACCCCTTTTTACCTACATGTTGCAAACTATCATGCAAGAGGTAACAGGCAGACACAAACACACAGGTGAAGTACATGGAAACAGATGACAAATGACCAGTTAGGACCACTGTCCTTCAGCCTGTTTCTTTTCTCTCAGACCAGACTACCATCCTAAAAAATAAGTTTAAAACCTAACCAATCTAGTACTCCAAGCATGCTGCAAGAGATAATGTGGGGTCTTCCGAGGAAAAATGTGCTTGAAAGTTATTATATACTTCAAGAATATGCCTTGAACAAATATATTGAAGCAGATCTTCTGTTTGACTGACAGTTGGCTAGCACATACATCATGAACGTGGAACCCCTTTTGCTATTGGTGGTGAAGAAGTTTAAAAAAAATCTAAAAAACAAAACAAAACAAACAAACAAACAAAAACACTTATTTTTCCTGGTGGGAAGAAAGCAGTCCAAAGAGAAAGAGGACGTGCAAAGTTAGCTTCCCACAGATTATGAAGAGTAACCCACAGATAAAGCAAACCAAACAGAAGGCGCTCAGTTATGTTCTTACATTGACATTAATGGCAGTTGAATTAGGTCCAGCATTAACAGAAAAAAGTAGTTCTTCAAAGCACTGGTAACGCAAACACTGTTGCCATAACTACCTCTCTCCCAGAAGCATGCCATTCTAATTTCTACAGTTAAATATTTACAAAGTAGATTGCATATTTTCAGGAGTTGCAAGAACTGCTCATAGAATTTGAATGAGCACTTCATGGTCCTCACAGAGGGTTTCCAGAATCATCCCTGGCTGCCCACAGCACCAGCTGGGAAGTGACCACATCAACACCTTGGTGCACTCAGGGTCTGGCACTACCCTTGCACCAAACTGCTCTGATGTGCTTCTGCTGTCACTTACATCACTGAACCACTCTGTGAACTTTAGAACTACTTCAGCTATATGTGACTGCAGTAACTGACATTTAATGGAGTCATACAAACATGTATATAACACCAAATTCTTCCGTCCTGTTTTGGTTTTGTCCATCTCACAGCTCAGGCACTGAAGAAACTTGCACATAAAGAATCAAGACAAAACAGGCCTGTGAAGATCTTACAGATCCATGGGGAAATTCTGTGCACTACCAGGCAGAAAAGCACATGTTGGATATCTAACCTGTTTCTAAAGACCTTCAGCAATGAGAAACAGCACAGGTTTGAAGAAAATCTGTTCTTCACTATCTATACTGTTAAAATACATTTTGAATCTGAAACTGCTTATTGTACTTCCCCGGTACTGAGCTTGAAAAAGCTATGGATTCAGATGCATGTCTGCTTTAAATAAGAGCCCAGTCAGTTAACATGGCTCACTAGATGCACACTTAACACCTGCAATGGTATGAAGTTGCACATTTCAGCCCCATATATAGTCTCCATCAACCTGTGACAAGAATTATGCACATGTAAAATCTTTATTCAGCTTTTTCTGATTTGTCCCTTAGAAATAATGATATGCAGTCAATTTTATCAACACGAAGCCCTACAAAATTTTTCAGGCTAGAAACTTCCTAAATCGTCTAGTTCACATTTGTAAATAATGCAGCACAAAATCCATTAATTAAATTCTTAGAAAGGACTGAAGAGTATGAAATCAAGGTTCCTACCTAAGGCCTTTGCCCTCCACAGATCTCAACTTAAAGAAAGCACCCAAAAAACACAATCTCATCCACAATAAAAGTTCACTTTGGCATCATCAGTCAGAGGATATCACTCACAGCACCATGGGATTTAAGAGATAAAACATATTTACTTTGACAGACAGTCATGTTACATTGAGACATATGGTAGTCTGACTCTTATAAAGCTGCCGTGTACTCCCTTGAACTTTGAGTGCTGACTATTCTAAATGGGTTCAGATGGAAGTTGTCTTAAATTAAAAAATATGCTCAGTCTTTGAAACAAGTGTTGTTTATTAAAAAATAAAATAACTTGACAATATTTTCACAAGCATACATGCAGATACAGACAGATACTACATCTTTACTATTTTGGTTTTAAAAATAGGCTGCTCTCTATAATCTTAGAAATAAAAAGGTAGTTTTAAATTAAATCACACATCAGCAAAGTCACACATCAGCAATAACATTTACATTATTACATTTTATATAAATTTCAAGTGAACAAAACAGTAAAACAGGCGTCAATAAAAAAAAGTTATTTTAAAAATATACGCTCAAATAAGAGGAAACAAAAATAATCTTAGAAGGTTAAAATTGTTCTCTAAGAGCTTGAACACTATTTCAGAAAATAAATTTATCAAAGGAAACAGACTGACATGTTGTTCTTTGCTCCAGGATTGGGCTCGTATTTCCCCAAAATAGTACCATAAATCTTACTAATTGCTAACTTCAGACATAACCCAAACTAGTACACTAACTAAAAAGTTAATTTAATATTGGAGAAATGACAATGGTTCATTTAGTTTGTTATTCTTGATTTCAATGAGACTGTGAAAACTAAGGGCTGTGGGGCTGGATCACTAAATGCTGGATTTAGATAATACTTTAGGCTAATACAAGAAAAAAAAAATCTCTATCATGTGCTTCTCTTGAAAGGTTTCATTTGCCAGTGTATAATGTATTAGTGATATACTGAAACAACCAGGAGAAGTTTCAGAACTTAATTCAGAAGTTCATTGCATGAGCCCAAGCAGGCTGTGCACAGCACAGTCATTCGGTAAGACTGTTAGACTGCGGCAGACGTTGCATGTGATAATGGGGCAGACTTGAAAGCACTTACTGTGCTGGCTGCAAAAATTCTGACGTGAACACAGCTTCTGCATAATCCTCACAAACATCCTGCAGCTCTGCTGCCACATCACATAGGGCTTCTTCTGTTAGTTCTTCTGCAAGACTGAGGGAGGAGAGGAAAAAAAAAAAAAGACTCAGAAGATCAGATTTCAAATTTCAGTCATTCGTTCCATTGACACAAATGGTATTGAATATCTCTGATTTTAAAAGAACAATACTCTTTTTTTTTTTCTTTCCACTGCTTAGCTTAGAAAGAGATTCCACTACCACAGAAAAGTTACGTAGTGGTTTGTGTTGTATAAGACAGTCCAAATTCTTTCCTCAGTCTGCTTCACAGCAAAGGATAAATACTTCAGGCTTAGAGGTGTTAACAGATCTCTGTTGCTTCCTTTTTCAAACTAACAGATACTAATCCTGCTTTTGGAGTACAACAAAATACTACTGTGCTTACCCAAAGGCCGTTGAAGTAAATAGAAAGCTTCTTACTGATTTTAGCTGCTACCGAATCAGGCATTATGGAGAGCAATAGAATTTCAGGAAAAGTGAGATTAGAAATTTCCATTTTCAGAGATCTCTGGACCACAGTTGATGTCACAGAAAGGAAAATTATTTTAGCGTAAGAATACAGTTATTTACTGTTTTCTTGAAAACATATCTTCAGAGTTTTGCAAATATTCTAAAATATCATAAAGTTAACATATCCAAGACCTTTTTAGCATAGTGTGGGCATATTTCTTTTAAACATTTTGTAATACTTATACAGCAAGATTTATATTGCCCTCTTGTGGTAAAAGTAAGTCAATGAAACATCTTGGATATCAGATTACATTTGTAGTTTGATTTCAAGTAACACGCATCATAGGCAAAAGCAGTGGAATTCTGCTGTCAGAAGGAAAGATTCACTCCCATTTAATCCATCTGCCAGTCCCAAGAAAGAACTGGTCTTTCAACTATCCATGTTCAATAGATGATTTCTGAAATAAATAATACAAATTTAAAACAAATTTAAAACAATTTGTAGAAAATCACTCAAGAAATGTACAAGGAATGAAACCCAGTGATATCAGTTAGTTGCTGTACCTGTTATTGAACAACTGAAACACTTTTTCAACTGTGAATGCAAGGTGGCTATTCCATCTTTCACTGACATGTTTGCTTAACAAACACTGAATGAATGTGAAACATTTTTCTTTGCCAATAAATGAACAGCAATGTTGTTTATTGCTTCTTCACCTCTTCTGTTTCTACTAAGGGATGGTAAATAACCTATGTCACTCTTCTCATAGTGAGCTCCATGAAAGGGTCAAAATTTGAGGAAAAGGAAGCACTGAAATCTGCACTAAGGCCACTGGTGTCTTTAAGATTATCTAGGGTTGTTCCATGAAACACTAACTTCGTAATCGTACACGAAGATTAAAGATTCCTAGTACTTTCTTTCTTTCTTAACAAAAAAGTTGATTTGGTTTTCCTTCAGTTTACCTGTTGATACTACTGACTTAATGAAGGGACAATGCAACTACCTCCTATCTTCAGATGAAACATCATGTTGTGTTCTCTGATACAATGAAAATGTCATGTTTAAGGCATTTTCAGAGTATGCTCACCAGCTAGATCTTTTACAAAGCCTCCCTACAGACTCATTCATGAATTCATTGTAGAAATGGATGAGGAAAGCTGAGTGAGAACAATTCTTCGCTGAATTTTCTATAGCAATAGAATACCAATTTTTGCAAAATGAGGTCAAGTTAAAATTGACAATTTTCACTTCAACCAATTTAGACTTCCAAACGTAATTTACCTTGTATTTCACACAGTTGCTCTGGTGGTAACACCATACAAAGATGTGAAAAATAATCACCCCTCCAGGACATTCTTCTTCCACATCCTTTAATTTTCTCCAAGTACCTTAAAAATCCATGAACACCAAGTACCATTGGAAAAACAGTCCAGTAGCTGACTGCTTCTGGCTTTTAATGTGGAATTTAAATGGCCCCTTCCCCACTCCCTTCCTAAATAAGGATAGAAAAAACTGTTCATCAGCCTATACATTCACTTCCAAAATACGTGGATAGTTCACATACCTCTCAGCAATCTGCCATGGATTGAAACCACCTATTGCCTCATGAAAAATGAGCTTTAGGTGATGTTCATATCTGCTGTTATAATCCTTGATGCTCTGGAGCATATGCTTTGTAACAGGGAGAGAAATATAGCACTCCTTCTGTATAGAATTCTGGGTCAAGGGATTCAGAATATCATTTCCAGTCAGCAATTTCTCTTTTGGTTCTTTGTTTTCATCAATATCGCTGGAAATACAGAATAATCATTAAATCAGAACTAGATTTCCAATTATCTTTTTGAAAAATCAGAAAATCTCTTTAAATAGGAACCATAATTTCCCACAATGAAAATGCTGTAAAGAAGATGCACAGCATAAATGCACCACAGTTTCTTTCATATAGGGCCAAATATTCCACTTACTTGTCATCAAAAAGTTTTTCAATTAAAATGTCTGTTTCTGGCTCTATGTGCTGGGTTAATTTGGTTATGTGAATTGGATGAGGAGATGTAGGTATTTTAGCTGTTAATGCACTTTGTTGATCTAGAAGGAAAAAAATAACATTAAGAATGTTTTATTTGGAAAAGGAAAAACTACAATTAATGCAATTAAGACTTCATAAAAACTTTTCCTTACTTTATAAGCAAATCCTTCAGGTAAGTGAAGTACTGATGCTGACAACCCCCTAAAACGTAAACTTAAGACAGGATTTCCAAGAACTTGGTGTATTAAAGCTGAGCATTTTACAAATCCTACCTTTAATATAGTTTGTTGTATCAGTGGATACTACTAGAGAAGAGAGAAAATACCACTTGAAAACTAATGTAGGCTATTGAGCTTGGCAAGATATGGAAAACGATGCAACAAGATTTGGACCGTCATCATCGGCCTTACTGTGACACTTCTACCTGGTTTAAAACAATGCAGTTGCATTAAAGTTGGTATGTGATCAGAGCCTCAGCTTGGTAAATCGGTGTAACTTCATTGTACTCAATCAAATAGTAGGATAAAGAACAAAGGTGTGGGGGACAAATAACAAGAAAAGTTGTCTTTATTAGCATGTCACTGTGGCAAACAATACTAAGATGTGCAGTTTTATGTATGGGAAATATCAGCTAAAGTTTGGAATGATAGCTTTCACTAATGAACAACTTTCTTCCAACATTACAAAGGTCCCTCTCTTTTTTTTTTTAAAAAAAAAAAAAAAGATCCGATGTAAAGTTAGGTGCTATTTTTAGTCTGAAGGACTTTAAATTCCTCTACTTATTTTCCATCCAATAAAAACAAGCAAGTAAAACATGATTAATGTTAACTGGAAGCATATGAGCAGTATTTTATTTTTTTTTAATGAATTAAATACTTATTGCTAAAACACATTGAATAATGAATTCTATTCAAAAAAAGAATTAAACTTGCAAGTATGCTGGCAAGACCTAAAAACAATATCAGCATCACTTGAAAGGAATAAGGAAAGAGAAAAAACCTTCTAAGCTTAATTAAATAATTTAATATTACCTTCTGCATGCTACCTTTCAGACTAACCACTATATTAAAACTTAACTAACATTTACACTTGAACTTAAGTCATGTAAACTGATGATTTATTAAAGAAAACAGGAGACACAAAAAGCCTAACAAGAAAAAGAGTGGTTTTAGGAGACCTCAAACTTAGAAAGTAAATTAACTTTCTTCTAGAGTAGAATCAACTAGCTCACAGATGAGTTGCAGTGTACATATTCAGTTATAGATTGTAGAATATCATTTCCACTGCACTAAAATCACTACCTACAATTTGGTAGAAAAGAAAATATCTAAGTTAAGGAACGACAAGTGCCTAGAAAGGGACAGCAACATTCAAACTTAACATGGTGATTGGTAGTATGTGTTACAGATTCAGCCAACTTGCAGTAGCAGTATTTTGCATACAAATACAATCCCAACAAAGGCAAACAGAAAATGACAGGCATTTTACAGAAGAGACCTCTCTTCTTTTAAATACTGATTTTAGAACTGTATTTCAGAAACACTGCTCTCAAAGGAGCACCTATAATCAAAAATATGTCTGAACAGTGCTATTTGATCACACATAATCTAATAATTTTGATTTCAAAACATCTGAATTTAAAGTTACAGATTACAGGAAAAACAAGCTGCACTGAAAAAACACTTACCCATTTCCTGGGCCCAGAACTTTGAATCACTATACACAATCTGGGTGAATCTCCTGCATACAGCTGCCTGGTATCTCTGTTTTTGAAAAACACAGAAGTAATTAATCAACACATACTTAACAGTTCAGCTGTAGTAGTTATCACTCGATAGGAAAGCAGGTCACAGTCAAAGTAAGATTATTTCTCACAGTTAATATAACACAGAAAAGGGGTGGAGGGATGAAATCATATATAATAAATATTATTCATTCAAAACGCCATACTAGAAGACTCAACAAGTTGCCAGTACCATAGCAGCTCCTCCCATTTCAGATCAACAGCACGTAAACAACCAGTGGGCCCTCATACCCTTCCTGTCTTACTGAAAGTGAATTCATATGTATGCTTAAGTGCCTCATATAGACACTGCACAATGTAAACTTCATGCTTCCAATTTATAAATAGATCTGTAGAAGTCAATGGCACGAAACTCAGTAGTTCTAATTTAGGAAAGATTTTACTGAACAAGAAATTGAGACTAGAACCAAAAATTCTGGAAATGCTTATTAAAGAAAAGTTAAAAAAATAATAAAAATAAGCAATGTATAAGAAAGATCAAAGCTAAATTATGAACTATATTTACATAGCAAGATGGATAATTAACTGCATTTATCTGACTTCCACATATCCCCCTGGAATACTTTTGATCACCACTGAGTTTTCTTGAGAAGCTTATGCTACTGCAATATTAGGATTACATAAAAAAAAAAATAAATCACTGATGTTCACTTTCCAACTTGTGAGACAACCAATTACATTATCACCATACTGATTCTGATTCTTCTACTCACATATGACGATTTAAGCCACAAGAGCTTTGTGGTTGTAAGCAAACTCAGGTCTACCAACTCTAAAGCTAGCAGTAAGACCATTAGGCCAAACGTCCTTCTATTCTTACACAATTTTTTGCTGAAGTGAAAATGTCTTCCAAGTCTTCCATTTCATACACAGATCCAGTCAAACCTTGCTTAATTTAAGATTGTAGATACTTAATTATATTACTATTTATGGTCAATAAACAAGAATTTGGAACTACTGAGACCAACCAAGAGATAAAAACTTACTTCAATTTCTTCCATTCTTTGCAACATTGTCTCTAGACTAGGACTGTCAGCAATGAGCTCCTCAGCCTGGAGTTTCTTCTGCTGCTCTGTATTCTGGAGTTCTTGAGCAGTATCTTTTAAAAGATCATCCAATACCTTCTCACTCAGGATATCTGCATTTGCTGCAACCTGCTAAAAAAAGTTAAAATAAAATAAAATAAAAAATCACATAGCTGAGAGAAAGAGAGAAAGAGAGAGAGATTCAGGAAAAAAAATAATGTTTATATGTCTAACATTTCTTGTAGCAGCTTATGGTAATAATCTAAATGTCATTTCAACTTTTTCTTTTAATGAAAATCCGAATAATTTCCTGTATTTTTTTTCCCCACTCACACAATAAGCCAAATCAATAAAGAGAGCTTGGTATGTTCCTAACAATAAAATCATTGAATACAGATAAAACCTGCTACATAACTTCATTCCTAAACTGGGGCATCACAGGTTCAGAAATCACCCAGGATTCAAGTAAAGTGAAGGCCCTCACTTACAAAACAGTACACACGCATTTAACTGAACATACACAAGAAGTCCCACAGCAGCTCCAGGAAGTAATGAGTACATATAGAGAAATACATAGCAGGTAAACCTAGGCCAAAGCTGTAGGTTCCAGTTGTGTACAACTTTACCAATTAGCCATGCTATGACGTCGCTATTCATGTACCTGTACTATTTTATATGAAAACATTTTTTCCCCCTCCATCAACTTCATGCATTCAAGGTCACATCAGACTAAACATATTTAAAATAAACATTAGAAACAGATTTCCCACTGTTTCCTAATGTAGATAGTTAAAATAAGAAAATACTTCAGAAGGCATGTGTGCCCACACAGTGATGTTGTTTTAAAGATGTATCTTATGCCAGTAGAAATGGCTACGTTCAAGAAATCATTGTTACTTTTTTGGATGTATTCTGCCACATGTCAAAGATAAAAATTCATCATAAATTTCAAACACCTTTACTCTATAACACACGGATAGAATAAGCCTTCTCAGCTGCATGAGTTGAAAGATGGTTTACAAAAAAAGAACACTTCAGGTGACAGTTTGTTGCCAAGGAGAGATTGATCTGCTAAAAAAACATAAATCTATTCATGATAATCAAGCTGTCTGCATTTTTAGTCATATATATTACTATTCAAAATATATTTAGTCATTAAATATGGTATTATATAAATTATTAAAATAATCTTATAGAGCCCAGTCATGGATAGTGTAGAACTTCTTTGACCATTTACTACTTGACAGGAAACTATCAAAAAAAGATAAAAACAATTAATGCAGTTTTGCCAAACTTCGTTAAAATAACTTGAGACCCACATAAATCATTTTAGATGTTTCTCCCCTAAACTGCTTACTTGCACTGCTTAAAAGAAATTTTGTATTGCCCCTTTACACATGTATCCTTCAAATACTACCATGAGCTTAAATGTACTACCTGCACCCTATCCAACGGAGGTTCTAGGTGTTTCTGTACTGCTTTCTCAATTTTGTCTACATACTGGGTTGGAGAAGCACCTTGTGACCTACACACACACACGAAAAAAAAGACAAAAAAAAAACAGCTAAATGATAATGTCATTCTGAATCTTGGTATGAAAATAAACAAACACAAACAAACACATCAAACCACTTTTTTGTTAAGTGTGAAGATTGGAAGTTTTTAATATTAGTACGGGGAACTAGGGGAAAGCCATATCAGATCTGATACCATTTATTAATTTTTCAAAGCAAGTCATTACCTTAGCTTTTTTATTTTTTCCATTTCTCCTTTGCTGAGGTCAGTTAGAACCTTCATCCTTTTAGCATGGCTTGAAGCCGGAACTTCAAATCTTCAAAATCAAAACAATAATATACAGAAGTTTACAAAATGCATGTTCTGTCAACTGGAGAATTAAGTCATCTGATTCTGGACATTAGGTTAGAAAATGCTGAAAAAAATTTAGAGAGAAAAGTAATACTGACTTTAAGATGGTATAATTCTGGAAATTCATTTGAGAACAAGGGATCTTCTTTTCTGCCTCTGCTACTGGCAAACAGGCAACTTCGTGGCTGACCACAAATACTGCCTTGATAGACAAGCTCTTCATCTTACAATATACACTGCCCACTATAGATGCAACGTCTATCAATGAAGGGACATGAAATTGAACATGAAGGGGCATAGAAGTATTTAGTCATCTGTAGCTCAGTTCAGCCATTACTAGAAAGACTCCATGAATCCTTTTTCACATGTTCCTTGCTACTTATGCTGCTAGGTCATTTTCTGTATTTTTATACCACATGCAAATCAAGTGAACCAATCTCTAATGAAAGGAGTAGTCCAAAATGCTGGACAGGTTATACTGGAATTATAAGACTCCAAACCCTACAGAAGAGGAAGAGAGAAAGGAAAGTATCCCTCCATGGCCAAAAAAAGGCTCAATTTCCTCTGAGAAAGAAAAGAGAGGTAGGGGAAAAAAAAAAAAAAAAAAAAAAAGGCAAGCTTCATCTCATGAAACTAAGGGGACTTCATAGTTTCACATGTAGGGACGTGAAATAACTTAACCATCTGCAACTCAGTTTAGCCTTCACTAGCCTGGCCTTGATTCAACCCTTGCCTAACTACACTAGGCACTGGCTATTTACCCTCTGAATCAAACCAGCTCTAAACAAGAAAAAAAAAAGAACATTCAGAAAAAATATTTAGTGTTTCCAATCGGAATATTCATGCCAACCTGAGAGCTTCTTTTTCCATGAGCCCTAGTCTTCTTTCTTCTGTCTTCCCTTTCTGCAAAGCTGAATGCTTATGAATGAGCTTCTTGGAACTTGCAGTCCTGGATATCCTGTAAGCACTGTCAACGGCGGGAAAACACTAATGGCAAAAAATACTATTTTCATAGCAAACATAATTACTGCACTAACCTTTGCCCAAATTATGCCCTTCAGACCATATTTAAGCTCTCAATGGGTAACTCTTCTGATCCTAATTGGCTGAATTAGAGGCATAAAACTAAGCCCATGTAAATGTAAAGGTGGAAACAAAGAGGAAGTCAATATGACATGTTTGGTAACGTTCACACTGTATTTCTTCCCTAATCCTGCAAACAATCTTCCTCAGAGGTGATGACAGAAGGATGTAGGATCTAGCTATTTCCAGGTGTTTTAATTGTTTCATTACCACAGTATCTATTTTTATTTTTTATTTCTTAAAAGATCTTAGAAGGAAGAGGGCAAATGATAACAAACGTATTACTATGAGGAGACTTCCCTCCAGCATATAAGAATTAATTAGAACATCCTTTCACTAATAACTCAATACTAATAATTATTTTGGATAACTGCATCCAATAAAAAGATCACTTAAAAGACGTGTTCAGCCAATGTTGATTGAGATTTTTTTCTCCTGATCTAGTTCTTTTAGCATTTATCCCTGAGCATTTTTCCACAGTGAAATAACCCTGAACACATTACTACAAATAATATTAAGTGTGCACATTAGAAATGCTTACTTTTCTGACAGCAGGATTAATAAGTCTGATGTACTACAGATCAGAGGTACATGCCTAAAACAAAAATAAAGCCCCTAAAAACTTTCTTGTAGTGGTGCCATTTACAAAAGGCTTAACAGGCTATATATATTCTTTGATTAGTAACACATTTTGATATGATCACATTACTCCCCACACAGAAGGCACTACTAGGAACTATTCATTTAGATGAATAATTAATTTCATGACACTTTAAGGAACATACTGCTGTTACTTTTACCTCTGTTAGTTTGAATTCGAATTAGCTTATGAACTTGAAAACCATTATGGCAGGACCAAAAGATACAAACAGTGTAACAACATATTCTTTTAGAGAAGAACTAACCTAAGCAAAGCCAGACCACAAGCACCAACATGGCATATGAACATCCATTCTGCATGCTATGTACACTGTCAGTGCACAGCACAGTTGCCTGCAGTTTTAGCCTATGACTCCCAGACAATACCGGGACGTAATCCAGGAAAAAGCATAAGGCAATGGCTTTTTCCAGGCTGTATGAATAAGGCCACTTTATGCTGAGTGAGAAAAGAATACAACTATCTGGTTGTGAGATATACTATACCACTTGTCTTCATGGTCTGAGAACCAGACCCAATCTATCCTATTTACTGGTACACATACAGCAACATTTCCACAGAAAAGTAAGGTAAACACTAGACTGTGGACATACCGTTTCAGTGAAGCAGGTGGAGATGTAGGGTTTGGAGGCACCCAGGGTGTTCTGTTCTCCTTAACAAGTCGTTTATTCTCTTTTAGCTGAAAAGCTATAGTTGTATCTTGAAATTGGGCATGCTTTCCTTGAGGCTGTACCTGCCGACGTTTTTGAGGTTTAAGCATTCCCTTAAGATTAACATAATCATATTAAAAACATGCATCTTCTGTTGTTCACTTTTGAAAATATTTTGTATTCTGCTTCAGAATTTGCCTTGAAATCAGGTATGCTGGCTTTATTGCATAATTAACGTATGTAGAGGTTTTACAACTGATTTAAAGGGAAGTACAACTGTGCCCAAACAGAACGTGCTTAATTCTGCAAATACAATTTTTGCAAGTAGCTCTAATTTCTCATTGATACTTTTCATGGGGAAAAGCTTCTGTGGACTTTTTCATAATTAGACTCTATGTTAACTCTGAGTAAATCCAAATAGATTTCCAAGGTAACATTCCTCTCAGCAATAAAACTCTAATATTGCCATATCTGCATTTGTGGCAAAGACATTCAGACTAGTCCCTTCAGTATGAATTATTGAAACGTTTAACCTTCCTGCTCACAGTTCTCACTGATATGGCAAGCAGTAAAATAGTTACATATGCATAAATCCATGTTACTAATACCAGAACTGATTTTTCAAGCTGAAGGTGATATTTAGAGGAAGAAAAAAAATAAAAATGAACTATTCACAAAATTTAGCATTTGAAAATAATTTTTAAACAACTCATTTGTTTGCAACACAGAAGCCTCCTGTTGACTGGAGGAAGGATTTATCAGAAACCAGAATCTGTCTTGCATAGTTTTATAATGTCTATAATCAATGAAAAAAATCTGCCTAAATTATATCTTCCAAATGTTAGCACAGCACTACCATGGAAGGCATCAGAGGATGACTAATAAGGGAAAAATACTGCATCTTTAATTCCAAGTTGAAAAATAACCATGTTAATTTCAAAAATGAAACTAGCTTTGAGCAAATATTTTTCCTTGTTCATTCTGTTCCTCATTGTTCCTAGTTGTACAGTGCATTTTTAATGAGCAAAAACATTGCATTCAAAAAACATTTGATAAAATAAAAACACCAGAAACAATACAGGCAAATGACAGAATTTCTCCCTCTATGTCTCTGAGCTCAGAATAAAAAAAAATTAGGAAGTACAAAGCTTGACCATGCCTTACAATAAATAACAAATCCCAGGGGACAAGTTGAAGAAAGCATAAAATTCTTTTATCACTTCCATACCTGTGATTTTACAGGTAATATCAGTTCTTTCTTTTTCAAAGGGACACTTTCAAGGATGAGATCCTTTTTTACAGCTCTAGATCTTGACTGTGAATCTATACTTCCTTTCAAAACAGCATTTCTCTCTGGAGTAGGTAGATCATTTTCTTCTTGGAATTTATTGTGCAATATATGCGCATGACTGTTCATCTTCTGAACTGCTGAAATATTTGTAACATGTTGAAGTTTATCTGTATCAAAAATAAAAAAGAAACTTTCAACTGTAAGTTCAATGGGGCAAGAATCATGTTTACGTCTACATTTGACATTTCTGTTGTGCTAGGTATACCTAATCACAAAAATTTAAAGCTTTACCATAATTCAAAAAAATCAAAATTAAAAACAAACAAACAAGTGGGTTTTTTGTTTGTATTTCCTGCCAACTATTAAGTAAACTGGCTTATTACACTGTTTCATTGAACAGGAAATTTTGCTTTGCGTTTGTGTATATTTATGTATACATGAAAATATACACATATTCTCTAGGTACATATACACAAATGCAGTCATTTGAAAGCCTGTGAACAGTCATTGCTATATAAGGTTTAGGCAATGATTTTAAAAACAAACAAACAAACATACATATTTTTGGCCACAACATACATGAAAACCAAAAAATGCTTCTCAATATACTCTCTCTCTGGACTGCCAAAAAGAATTCATGTCATAGTAGGTTTCTCCCCCTAACTTTAGTCTTCTAGTAAAAAGCAGCATAATGTATTTGAAAGACACCCCATATAAGAACGATCACAGAATCATCTAGGTTGGAAGAGATCTCCAAGATCACTTAGTCCAACCTCTGACCTAACACTAACAAGTCCTCCACTAAACTATATCATATCAGATCAATTACAGAGGTTACATAATAATGTAGTAATCTATAATGGTTTTCATGAGGTGGCAAAATATGTCAGTTAGTAACCTTATTTCAAAAGATGGCGAGAAATAATAAAGCTCATTTAATATCATATGAGGTAAATGAACAATAAAGGAAACCAATTCCCAAAGGTTGCACGGCAATCTAGTAGTGAAGAACAAAGACTTCTAACAGTGAAAAACAAAGACAACTATCAATGTGTCTCTAAGTACTGAAAGTTTGACTACAGTGCAGATGGGGATGAATGCATTGTCAAGAACAAAATAAAGCCATGTCTCTCAAAACCCCTCAAAGGTAGAGAAACTGCACAAACTAATGAAACTCTGAGCCAAAGCTTCAATATGCTATTCATTGTTAGAAGTCCGATAAACAATGATAGTTTTGTTGGAGACTTGCTAACAGTCAATAACTCTGCATTTCAAAAGTATTTATACAGTCTTTTCCACATAGGCATTTGGATACGTTCTTTATGCACCATTAAAGTGAACTTCTAAACTGTCATTTAGGTATACACTGAAGAAAAGCAATCCAAGAATAGCCTACTGTAAAACAAATGGACATAATAAGAATACGAAGATGATATAATTAGAAAGAGGCATATAAACCTGCAGGCCCATCATCTCATGGGAACTGCTGAAAAAAATGTCTAACAAGGCTATGTGTATCTGATGACTACATACGGGCTGTTATGCACGTCTGTCCAGCAGTATGTAACATACTACAAAATTGAACTCCAGATGGTAAGTTTACTGATAAAGTGTATTTAAAAATAAAATATAAGCCAATCAAGAGACCTCTGGCAGCTGGAAATTTTCTAGGTTCTTGTCCATGCTTTTCCTTTAAGATGACAGACTTTTTTCCTCCTTTTGGAGATGTCAGCTGCTTTCTGCCTGGAGATGTCTCAGTGTTCACTGGAAATTTGTGCTGAGATGCTGTAAGACATTTCTTTGATTTTTTGGCTGCTTGTTTCTTTTCCAGCAATGAATCCAGATCCTGCATGAAATATTTATAATTTTAATTACTCTCTCAGTAAACCCTATGAGATAATGAAGAATGATAAGAAGCAAATTAAAGAGAATCTAAATAATTGGAACTTTTTGGTGTGGCTTTGTTTTTGTTTGTTTGTTTTCTTGTTGGTGGGTTGTTGTTTTTTTTTTTGTAGTGCCTATACTTGATAGCTTGATCATGCAGAAGCATCTTTGTGTAACACGGAAAAGGTGTGCTTTTTTTTTTTTTTATTTACAGAAAACTCCAGCAAATTATCTGTTTACAGCATATTCAAAAAGAAACAGACACAAAGTCTACAGATAGTAAGAACATCCACATGACTAGGATAAGACAGACAAACACTTTTTCCAATGACAAGTCCAATCTTAATTCTACCTCCCTTCCTTTTCCAAGGTAATTTTCACTCGCTGTTAATGTGCTAATAAGCAGTTCAAAGCAAAAATAACAACACAGCTCTTACAGTTAGAACAATATTTTAAGTTAAATAAAACATCTTGTGGCTATTGTATCAGCTATTTTCATTCAAATGACTTAAATACTGCTTTCATAATAGTTCAGGTTATGTAGGTTCTTACTTAAAAAATCCTGGTAGTTAGAAACTGCATCAGGAAATGTGAATCAGAACTTTTCTATTATACCAACATGTTTCAAAACATCAGATATTACCAAAACTCATTTGAAGGGCACAGAGCTTCAACAACTCTTGTAGCTACAATTTTATCTTCTGCCTAGATAAGTCTGCAGCCATGACTGCACGAGGCAGAGCCTCTACTAATCCTGATGACTAAAGCATGCATTGCAAAACAATCGACACGTAATGTACAGAAATACATCAAACGCAATTCTTTCAATCCTGAAAACAGCAAATGAATCAGAAATTGCTGTTCTGTTAGCACTATCACTACCAGTTTTGATTCTACCAGGACAGCCAATAAAAGGTAGGAAAAGCATCAACATGAACTACCGCAGGTAGCTTCCGTGAATAGGATGCAACTTTATTTAGACCACCGCTATTTTATGAACATTAGCAATATGCTAATATATTAGGAAAATGGCCTTTAAAAAAATAAATATATAGATATTCTGCAATTTCATGAAGACACGATACAGCTTACACAGTCTTTTATTTCACTATTTCTCTTCTTCCTTAGCAGAAACAAAATGCTTATTCCTACCTCAATTTGCAGCAAAATATCTATGATAATGTCAGAAACTGAAGAATCCACTTCTAGTTTGGCAGAACAAAGAGACAGCTGTCGAATGAGACTGCCCAGTTCCTTGTAGTGGGTAGGAATAAGTTGCTCTGTTTGATCAGTAAACTGATTGGCAAATGCCTGCAAGGCTCGTATAGCTCCTCTGTGTGCTGCTGCCAATCTGGATACTGCTTGAGACTGAAAAAATTAAAAATAAATGCTTTAATAACTATAATCTCTATGAATATGGACATAGAAACACTCAAGACTTTGGATACTTCTTATGGAGATGAGGCCATTTTTGAAACAGAACAAAACAGGCGTTTATACAACCCACTAAAGGTGCTACACAGCAGTCCACATATCAAGAATCATGCTAGTGTCAGCTAAAATAGCATGGCTGTAACACTTCATGTTGTTTCTACTATTCCATGCCTAGAGAGTCATAGGCTTGGACCCAATGTAAAACAGCATGGTTGTAGAACATTCTACCTCCCCAGAATTTGTGTTAGTGAAAAAAATCCAGGTGATGGAAAAGCATGAGAGAATAATTGGACAATACTCGCCAAACAGTAGGAATGATCGCAGCACTATCTTTCTGAAAGATAATGGATAGGCAAGAAAATCAGAAAAGATGGCTGATAAGAATGAGTAACATGAACAGGAAGTCAAAAATAATAGTCAAGAGTAGAACACAGTGTTACTCAGAAAAGGAAACAGAATGAGGGAGGAATTAGAAGCAACATTAAAGCACAAGACCAACAGCCTTCTCTACAGTTTACTGCAGGCAGGCAAGAACTGAGGAGAAGAGGGAAGCAGCAAAGACAGCATGAAACCAAGTGAGCTATATATTTTGAAGAATAGGATGAAAGGTGCCAAGCACAAGGAAAACCTTCCTTCTAGAGAGAATTCAGATGTACCTTAGACAAGGTGACATTTAGCAAACTGAATTAACTAAGAAGTTTTCTGTCCGTGAGTGACTGACAGCCTAAAGGATAATTCCATCTTACCTTTTTAGTGTGTTTGATTTCATGAGGACTCAGTTTCTCTAAATCATCCTGAATTTCTTTTACCTGTTTATCAAGAAAGGAGGGGGAGTGGGGAATGTCAGTTAGAATTAGTTCTATGTCTATAAATGAACAATAAATCTTCACTGTAACATCCGAGTTAAAGTCCGTATTTTCCAAAACCTCTTATCTCTAACCCGTCACAAGAAATTAGTCACCATTTCAGATCCAAACTAAAATGCCATGGAAATTCAGACATATCCTGATCAAGTTCTCTTGTTTCAGTTCATTTCTGTCAAACTCGTCATAATAAACATACCAGTTTGAAATGCTGGTTGTACCTGTTGTTGGAGTACATACAGCATCCGAGCTGACCGTGAAGCTTGTTTCTGTCTTCGAGTGCAAACCTGTTGCTCTTCATCACGATCTAAAATTTCTTCAACTCTCTCTAAAAAGCATGAAACGTAAAGTTGTATATCTTAATTTAACCTGTGAAAACCCTGTTTAAGCCAAACGAATGAGCATAGCTTAGCAATAAGCCTCTTCCATGAAGGGCTCCCCCGAGCAGTAATGCAAGCTAGTCACTAACAGTACATCATGTATCTACTTAGCATTTGACTAAATATTCTCATACAATATAGCTTCTGATATAGTTTAGAAAATAACTTATGACTCCTTAATTTTATGACAAACTTGCACATACAACACTCAGAGTTAGGAACGCTTAAACCACCAGACAGTTATTATAAAGGGACCAATACAATGTGTAGTGGAGTCTGGGTGGAATGGAGTTAGTTTTCTTCTTAGGAACATGTATGGTGCCATTTTGGATTGACTAAAACAGTGCTGATAACACAACAGTGTTTTGGCTGTTGCTGAGGAACACTAGCACCATGCCAAAGCTTTCTCTTTTTTCCAATTCTGACCACAAGTTAGTAAGCTGAGTGCAAGAAGTTTGGAGGGGACACAACTGGAACAGCTGAACCAAACTGACCAAAGGGGATATGCTGTGCCATATAATGTCATGCTCAGCAATTAAAAAAAAAAAAAAAAACTGCTTTGGTGGAAACATTTTTTTTTCCTTTTCTTCTTCATTTTTCCTTTTTCATTCACTTACTAAATTACCTTTACCTCAATGCATGAATTTTCTTACTTTTCCTCCTCCAGTTCTCTCCCCTGTCCTGCTGGAGGAGGAAATGTGCATAAACAACTGTGTGGTGTTTTGCTGCTAACTGGGCTAACTGGGGTTACCTCACAACACAGTGTCAGAAAGGACACTAATGACGATACTGCACAGTTATAAATCAGGTGAGTCAGACTTGTGAAATGGCATGTTATCAACTGTTGGCCCATTTCTTGTCACTGCTCAAGACATAGTTAATTATGATACTGTTTTTTGCAGTCTGAAGATCTAGCCAATAGATCTACACCAAAATCTTTCACACAACTTATTAAATAGCCTATACTGTCTTTGTAGGTTGGACTGGAACTCACTACAAACACTCAAATACATTAAACCTTATTATTGCCTAAGCTGGCTAGCCATTCTAGCTTTTTTCTATTTAAGGTACATGTATATCTCAAAAATTCCAAACTAAATACAGATTCTAATCCAAGCCAATAAACAAACAAATGAAAAAAAAAAAGAGAGAGAAAGAAGAACAAATTAACCAACCAACTATTATATATTTATATAAAATATTTACTGTTCAGTCTTACACCTTTTTTAATCAGTTCTTCTATTTTCTGGATACAACTTCTCAATTCCTTTTGTAGCCGTTGGATTTCCTGCCTACTTTTATCTTCTTTTTTGTTAACATTTGGCTTGGTGTCTGGTCTCATGTTATGGGTGGGTGAAGAGCCCAGAACAGCTGGTGTTAGTCTTCCCTCACTCGGTGTGTAGAGATAAACTTTTGCACCAGAACTGGTAGTCTCCACGCGGGAAGGCTGACCAAGTTTCCCTTGATATTTCAACTCAGTTTGAGACTTCAGCACATTTTTCTTTTCTGGACTTTCAAATACTTTATTCTTCTGCTGCTGTGACTTCTGAGTCAACAATGATTCACTGACAGCATCTCCTAATACTTTCTGTTTCATTTGCTCTTCAAGATGTTTTCGTTTCATGTCCCTTTTGGCTAGCTGAATGGCCTGTTTTAGTCTCTCTTCAGATATTATTGAAAACTTGCCAGAGCTTTTGATGCTGGAGTTGTCAATTCCAGATAGATTTCTCTGATCAGTGGATGGCTTCAGTTTTTCTATTATAATTGGACAGGGGTTAGAGAATCTGAGAGCCAAGTTCTCTGGAACTGCAGGAACATTTCTGTTAAACTGGAGCTGTTGCAAAGCGTAAACAGAAACTGATGTTAAGGAGAACACTCTACATGGGTGATGCATCTCTAGAGTACAACAGTAAGGAAAACAAATCTTCATTCATATTAGAATGCATTCTGTCATGATGGTACTTCAACACATGAAAGGAGCCCCTCCACTCAGATAAATGCCAGTGTTCAAAATTATTTTGAATTAAGCACATAGATCTTGTAAATAACATTATGTACTTATCTGCACCCTAGTATGGGTACCCACAAGGAAAAGTCTGCTCCAAAATGACTGGGTAACAGACAATGTCATTATAAAGATTTTAAAGAGTTCTGACAATGAAATTAATGTTACAGCAATTAAAATTAATAATAGAAATTGCTCTTATTATATCATAGTGATTTAAGTCAGCCATTATTAAACTTACAAATTATGAAGGAGGTGTTCGGAGAAGAAGAAATGGAAAATTAAACTACAGTAACAGAATAAAGTTTCTAGGTTCTGTTATCATGTGGTAAAGTAAAGGCTAAGGCAGGTAAATAATATTTAAAGGCATAATTTCTGTTCTATACAGAAGAAAAGTATCATGATCATGTATGACAGCGCCACGAAAGCAAGTATGAAGATCTGAGTCACTCCTGTCTCAGGAAGTGTGTCACGATTATCTTTTTTGTAATGATCACAAATTAAAAGCAGTTCAGCATTGCTGCAAAAGTCAAACAATACCTGGGTTTGTAAAGTCTTTCCTTCATTCCTGTATAGCTGGGCAGTGGATGCAAATGGAGCACCAGACAAAGATGGCTTGCTTGGTCCCATCACATTGACTTGATGCTGAAAACTGAGTTATTTATTTTCTGCTTACAATTACAGTTATGAGGATAACTGTAATTATAGACAAATTATATGTTACTTCTGCTTCTCGAAGGGAATCCCGGGTACGATGTGAGCAACAGAGAACCAATCTGAGGAGACACAGAGAAACAATAAATATATTATGTGCATTTATACAGGTGGTACACAGAATAGGAAGAATATTCCTACTGTTTAATGTGAAACTTACAGTTTATATCCTTCTTTACACACACCCAGGGAGAGCTGAGGAGCACCTTCGCAGGCCCATACTATGATTCATAAGAACACTACAGAACTTGTATAGCTATTACTTACCCTAAAAGGAAATATTGTACTGCAAAGGTATGAAAACCGACCAGCAAGATAGAATACGGCATTGGTCATGAACGGCGGAACACGGCGAGCTGCCCCAGCCCACCAGACACGGCCCGCAGCGGCCCGCTCCCTCCGGCGCGCCCTCACCTCACGGCACAGCCGCGGGGCGGGCGGGCGAGACCAGCGCCGGCGGGAAGCCCCCGACGCCCCGTCCGCCTCGGCTGAGCCCAGGCCCCGGCCTACCGGGGTCGCGGTTCAAACCCGCTCCCGGCAACCGCCGCCGCAGAGGCCGTCGGGAGGCAGCGCGGTACCACGGCGTCCGGGGCGGGCCCCGCTCTCAGCCGCCTGCAGCTGCCGCCTCCTGCGGGCGCCATGGGCTGGGAGGAGAAGCAGGTGCGCGGGTACAGCGAGTTCGTGCAGACAGCGCAGCGCTACCACGGCCGGCCCATCTTCGCTCTCTTCTGCGGCGACAAAGACGCCGAGGGCAAGAGCTGGTGCCCGGACTGCGTGACGGGTGAGGCCGGGCGGGCACCCCGCGGTCCCCCGGAGCCGTGGCGGCGCGGGCGTGGCGCAGGGCGGCGGCCTCCTCCCCTCGGCCCTCGCGGGGCCGGTGGTGGCCGGGACGCGGCTGCCCGCAGGCAGTCGCGGTCGCTGCGGATCGCGTGAAGCGGCCCCGGCTGCCCTTCCCGGGGTGCACGTGTGGAGCTGTAGGGGACGTTCATACACCGCGAGTCCGCATCCTGCCTCCGCGAGGGAGCTGGGAGGGGTTCGGGTCCCCAGCTCTAGCTGCTGGTAACACCGCGCGACTGGGAGCTGGCCAAAGCTGCTGCTTCAGAAACAAGCTGTCTGTGCTTGTCTCGGTTTTGCCAGCCCTCCCACGGAGTAGTGTGTAACGTTACACACTCTTGAACAGAGGCTGGCACGAAGGATAGCTTTTTATCTGTCCTAGCAAACCATTTGATGTGAATCTTAGGATCAGTTAATTCACCTCTGCTTCACATATCAAAAGCCAGAGATGACTTACCAGTGCCTAGCAGTAGAATGTGAAGGCAGCTTCTCAGAATGCATTACAGTGAACTTTATGGATCATATATGCCAGATTACATATGACAACCACTTACTGCTGTTCTGCTGGGCTCTTATCCAGAGAAGAGACTAATTAATTATCTAGCTTGTTAAAGTTGAAATTGGCGTTTTTGCAAAGGCCATTCCCTTTATTGTTGAACATCTAAGTTCTGCAAAGCTGGTGGATAGCCAGATGAAACAAAATACAGATGTTGGCCTGAAACAAAGTGTTCGTTAGCAACCTTGCTGGTTGTACTATATCCATGTGATTCTATAGCACACTATTAACTACAAACATTTAAAAATTACTCTCTAGCTGAACCGGTTGTGAGGAGGGAACTTCATAACATGCCCGATGAGTCTGTGTTCATCTACTGCCTAGTAGGAGACAGAGCCTAGTAAGTAACTGTTTTAATGTCAACAACTGGTATTACCTTGCCATGTAAATCCACTACATGCTGTTTCTTGACTAGAGGTTAATTAACCTGTTGAAACTAATGACTGACTGTCCTTTTGTGAGTGTGGAGGTCTACACCATCCATAAAGGGTATAACTATCTGCATGCTTGTTCTAAAGAGGAAGCTGGGGAGGTGGGAGGTAAAGATCTTCAAATCATCCTTTTGAAGTAATTTTAACAGATTAATTTCAAACTGCATTTTTAACACATTTTTACAAATTGTGTTTAACTACCATCTTCCTGAACAGCTGGAAAGATCCTAACAATGAATTCAGGAAGAATCTGAAACTAACAGGAGTGCCTACACTACTTAAATATGGAACAGTAAGTGATATATTGTATCGCATGGATCTACATGCATCCAACTAAAAAACTGACAGGGGCTTATGGCCCTAAATGAGTTTGCTGTCCATGTTTTCTGATACCCTCTCTCGTTTTAAAGGAACAGACAGTTAGGAACATCGCTTCAGCTCCCATCCATGCCTCTTCCTAGCTCTAATAGTTACTTGAGAGAGAACCAACCTGCTTTTTGTAGAATATTCTCTGTAATACAGAAAATATATACACTTAGCACATAGTGATTTAGGGGTAGGGTAAGTTCTTAGCAATGTGGTGTTAGCTTCCTGATGCATGGCTCCTCAAATTTTAAGAAATCTAAATGCTGAATTATGGGAGTGGAACAGGATCACATATACTGTATTTTTTGTTGAAATACACTACAGCTCCCACTCCCGTAAACTCTTGTGCTTTATAGTTGAGGGCATTAAACAGGTCAGACCAAGTATTAACTTGTACACATTCTTTAACTTAACAATTACTTTCTCAGGAATGACTCTTCCCAGACCAGAAAACCCTCAGGCGTTTTTCAATTATCATTGCTCACTCTATCCTCCATCCCAACTCACACTTGCCATAACAAGAAACAATTGCTATAGTACAGCTAGTATTATGTACAAATAGCTCTAGTCTAGAACAGATTTTTAATTGCTCCTAAAACATCTTAACTTCCTTTTTTAGCCTCAGAAGCTGGTTGAAGAAGAATGTTTTAAAGCAGAGCTTGTGCGTATGTTGTTTACTGAAGACTAAATCCCCCACTAGCCAATCATTTACGAAGATGTTCATCTCATTATTTTCATTGTCCTTTCAAGGAATCCTTACCTGTTGTCCCCTCCTGTCACCCCCCCCCCCCTGCTGCAATGATCATCATTAATTAATTCCAATTAGTTGAGGTAAATGTCAGTACATTCAAAGTTCAAATCTTCCAATAAAATCTTGCAACAAAAAAAATGTATCTTGTTGAAATAATCTTGAATTTATAAGCAGTCTCTTTTCAAAGGAGCTGAGTCATGTTATAAACCAAAAGAATAGCCTACATTTACTGGAGAGTGAGACTTAAAAAGTTATACTTTTAATAGCGAGTAAGTGTGTGTGGGAGTAGGGGGGACAGTGCAGGAGAAACAGAAAAAAATGTTTTTTCCTTCCTAAATCTGATTTCATGCAGCTACTGAAGCTGTTATGGTAAATTTTTAATACTAAAGATGTTTAATAGTTTATCTGTTCAGCCTAAGCTAAAGGCTACCAGTCTGGTTCTGATCACGTCACAGTACCTCCTACCTACATGAACATGAAATATAACATGAATACAGCATGAACACAATCTAAATCATGAAAATTAAACCCCTGGCATCTGCCACAATCTGTATTCTTACAAAAAAAACTGTACAAGAATAAGTGACAAATGCTTCTCTGTGCATTTACACCTTTCTTGTAACACAAACTGTTTTCAGTACACATACTGTAGAAAAAAGTCTAAGAGCATCCTGTATTTCACTGGAAGAAAACCAAGATTAAAACAAGCTGACTTTAGAGGAATAGATGCAGCTACAGCCTATTTCCTTTTTGGGTATTCACAAAGTTTATTACTTATCTCTGCTCTTAATCTTGCAGCTTTTGTTTCTTCACACTTCAATTTTGGTCTCTAAAAACTACTGCCAGGAAAGCCCTCCAAGAACCCCAGAAACAATGATTACCAGGTAAACAGAAATAACAAATAGTAACTCATCTCTGTTTCAAGGCAAAAATCCAAAAATCCACAAGTTTTGTGCAGCAATCACAATTACTTCAAATTTGCTCATCCTGCAGTTGTAGAAAGGGGTACATGAGGGAGCTCTTAGCCAAACTTCAAGACATATTGTTCTCTAGGGAACATGCCTACTAAGGAGACTGTTGAACTACTTTTTTTGTTATGATACATACATGTTATGATATGTACACACAGAGCCAAACCTACAAAACAGTTCATTCCTCTCTTGTAAATACTTGGAGTACACCTTATCATCACTCTTCCAAGCATTTTTCATTTTACAGAGGTATTGTTTTGTTGCTGCTGCTCTGCCAGTGCCTGCTGGAGGCGCATTCTCTTCCGTGAATAGTGTTGCCAGTGAAGAATCTGTTGCTCATCAATAAACTTAGCACACTGAGCATTTACCAGTTCTTTGCGGAAGTGTTCATATTGGAGCAGCTCTAACATATGCAAACACTGAGGATACCTGGATTAAAAAAAAAAAAAAAAAAACATGAATACTTTAATACAAGTGACACTAAAACTGGAGTCTCCAGTAATTCTTGAGTTTAATATCTTACTTTTATTTATTTAGTGTTTTACTTAAGTATCAAACCACTTAAGACTGTCCATGCTCTATGCACTGCAACTTAATACCTTCACTATTAGGCTAGGAAACAAGGACTGTTACAAGCACATATACTTGCCCAGACTAACTTTTCTAATGGTTGGATTTCATTAAAACATACATGAACTAGAATGTCTGTTTCCAGGGCTCATTTAAAACACACAGACGAAAACTATTTTCCAAAGTGTGAAAGAGTTTCAATACTAACAAAAAAAATGCACAATCATCCTTTACTTCGTATAGGCATCAACAAGGCAAAAATCAGTTTAGCCCACTAACTGTTAGAATGAAGTAGTTTTGTCCCATAATGCTAAACAGTTTATTTTAAGCATATGCTAAAACATAATGCTAAACATCTTTATTTTAAGCATATTTAAGGTAGAGATAAAGGCTGCAAAACATCGATTCCATGCACAACTTACAAACAACGAGTTCTGTAATTTTGTCTATTCCTGTTAGATACGGGTTATTGGAAACAGGAAAATTTATGTTATGTATAAATACAGTGCAGGTTTTGGTTGCAGGGAAAAATCAAATTTTGAGATGCTGTCACACAGTGCATAATAGAAGGTAATTATCAAATCATTGAAATGCAGAAACCTAAGTGATTTTAATACTTACTTCAGGTATTTTGCATATTCAGGTTCTTTCCAGTATAGCAAATATTTAAGATAATTTACAAAAGCTTTGTCTTTGAAGTAGCCCCTTTGTGCAAGAACTGAAATAAAATGACAAACAAGGAGTTGTCAGTTATATAAGTATGAAAAAATCTGCCAAATTTGAAGAATATGTATTCACAAAACTATACGTTCCATTCATACAGCAACAAGGACGTGAACAGCTGTTTAAAACAGGAGTTTTTGACTAGCATCGAAACAGACAGTGAAAATCAGAGGTATTAAGTTTAGTGCCTGAAACTATTATTAGCATTAGTTAAATTCTGGTTTCAGATAATCTAATAGTGTTAGCTGGAAATTATTATTATTTTCACTTGGACTTATTCTCTTCTGCACTAGATAGATGCATTTTATTTCAATAACACAAACATTTTGCATTTTAAAGGCTTCCTCCTTCTGCCATTAGAAATTTGGGTATATGAAATTATTTAAAGACTATCTTTATCCTCAAAAAGGATCTATTCACTTTTCTTTGTTTAACCTTTTGGTCGCTGCTTAGCACTACCAGTTATAATAAACACCTTTAAATATTAATTCCTCAGGATCCTGACATTTAAGTACTTACAGTTGAGATAATTGGGATTTGCCAGACATTGAACAAATTCCAACTCCAGCTGGAACCGCAGTCGATTTCCTGTATCATCTGACATATAGGAGAGAAACAGTAAGAACTGGACCCACGTAATAGACTCGAAAGTCGATTTCTCAATTTGCGTCATACAAATAGGAATAACATGTTTAAACAGGAGATGAAGCAGTAACTCCCCATAATAAATATGAACTCACTTGGCAAAGCCTTTTCCATAGATGAATCAGTGTTGGGCCTGCATTAATAAATACGTGGGTGTGTTTTGTTTTTTTAAACAGACAAAATGTAAAGAATGGAGGAATGCCCACTGACCCTTTGTTTAGTGAAGGAAAAGGTAAAAGCAAAGAACCTGGTTTATTTGTACGGAGAAAATTGAGGAAGGTTAAGAAGAGAGAACAGCAAGTGGCCCACCAAAATCCTAGTTGGACATAATGCAACAGACTGCACATTCAGCAAGATTGCATATGACAATATTGAGAGAAGTAACTGAAGCACCAGAAGATTGCACTACCATTCGGTGTGACCTCACAGGAATTTCATGAAGTTCAGCCAAGAGAAATACATAGACCTGCACATAGGGAGGAATAACCCCATGCGACAGTACAGGCTGAGGGGCCAACCTTCTGGAAAACAGTTTTGTAAAGAAGGACCTAGAAGTCATGGCAGACAAAGTCAAACATGACCTGCAGCATACCTTTGTGGCAAAGAAGCTCAACAGCATCCTGAGCTGCATTAGGAAAAGCATTGCTAGCAGATAAAGGGTGGCGATCCCTACCCTCTAATTAGCACCAGTGAAACCCTATCTGGAGTGCTGCATCCAATTGTGGGGCTCCCCAGGACAAGGAAGATATGGATATACAGAAGTAAGCCCAACAAACCAACACAAAGATAAAGGATTACAGCATCTAAGGTACAAGGAGACAAAGACAGCTGTGACTGTTCAGTTTTGGGAACAAAAGACTCAGGGGAATCTTACAAATGCATATAAATACGTGACATAAGAGAATGAAGAAGACAGAATCTAACTCTTCTCAGTAGTGCCCAGGGAAAAGACAAGAGGCAATGGCTACAAACTGAAATATAGGGAAATCCTTTTAAAGTAAAGATTTTATTTTTTTTAAATCCATAAAGGAGTATGTTGCCCAGAAAAGCTTTGGAGTCTTCATCCCTGGAGACACTGAAGACCTGACTAGACAAGACCCTGAGCAATCTGCTCTACCTGATCCTACTTTGAGGCATGCAGTAGCCTACGTGATCTCCAGAAGATCCTTTGAACGTTAACTATTCTGCAATTCTGCCAAATAGTCTCTTCCTGGGAGATGCAATGTGGAGGAACAGACTCACTTGAACCTGATACCACATCAAAGCTCAGTAGTACCAGTTTTCACCTGTTTAACAATGATCATAAGAATTCCATGTAATTTCTCCATTTATACCCATGACAATATGTGGCAGGGCTTAGCATACAGAAAAAGAGCAACGAGGAAATCAACTTTCTTATTTTTAGAATCACTTCACCAAAGTATCTTCATTTTAAAAAGTGTCTCTTTTTGAGTGTCACTGCACTGTTATTAGTATAAACTATTATTTGATCCACGTTGGTTATTACAGATTTATTCTTGCCTATTTTCACCATATCGCCTATGTTTGTACTCATTTTAAAAGCTATGAAATATTTCATTGAGAATACATGCTTCAGAGAATCCTGATACAAAAAAAATCCCTGTACGTTGTGATTATGCATATAAAACAAACTTTTACAAACTACTAAACAGTCAGATTTTAATCTGTTTAAAACGGCCCACACTGACTGAAGTTCTTTTAATTTCTTTGGCATCAACCCGGGCTAAATAAAATACTTTGAAATGTTAAAGTAAGTATAATTATTTATGTAATACTTATAAAAATTCTGTGATAGTAATTTGATAAATTCTACTTGACATAGTATTTTCATGAAAACTCTCTGATCACTCCATCCTGAACCACTGAGCATTTCCACGCTACAGAGAAACAGCTATGTCCTTAAAAAATAACTTGAACGGATAATTCAAGAGCTGTGCAATGCAAGTTAAGAACATAGGGGAAAAAAAAGTACGTAGAATGCTTAAGTCTTAACAATAATGAACACATAGCAAACCCTTACTGACGGAAGACAGCTCAGTTCTCAGATGCCTGTTGTTATCACTAGAGATCACTTATCCACAGGACTGCGAGGCTTACTTTCAATTCCCAGCTGCGACCACCAACAGACTGTAATACCTGGATACATATACCCCTGGAAAAGCTGCATCTAAGCACACGTTCATTTTTCTAAAATGCTGTCAAGGCAGAGCTACTAGCCCAGGGCTCATGCATAACTGTGAAAACCAACGCATTCTATAGAAATAAAGACCAAGGACAGGATGGGCTCAACTGAAGGCCCTGAGCTCCCAGACTCGCAGCTCAGACTCCTGAATTAAGGACAAACGTTAAACATGAAGTCGAGGCTGGCATCCGTGGCAAAAGGCGCAAAAGCTATCCTAGAGTTTTGGGGTAGCGGGCTTTTTTGCTCTACGGCTATCCCTTCCCACGGCGTCCGAGAGGGCGAGGGCCACAGACGCCTCCCCAGGCGCCAGGAGGGCGGCACCCGGGCAGGCCGGGGGCGGCCTCACAAGTAGAGAACCGCGCAGCCCCTGCGGGAGCGGCACGACTTCGCCCATGGCCCCCTCTTCCGAGGAAGAAGCTCCGAGCACAGCCCCACAGACGCCCGCAGCTCTCCGCGCGGCCGGACCACAGGCGGCCTCTCCCCGGCCCACAGCCCGACCCCGACCGCGCCGTCCCACCGTGGCGGTCTCTCACCTGCCTCCATGGCGGCCTCCCAGACCCCGCCCCGCCGAGGCACAAGATGGCGACGGGCACTTCCGGGCAGAAGCCCAGCGGGGCCGGTCACCGGGGCGTCTTAGGAAGGTGGTGACGGTTGCCTGGCAACGGGCCGGGCGGCGCGGCTGCCCGCAGGGCCCGGCCCCGAGGCCTACGGGAACGCGCTTCGCCGCCACCCGTTAGCGGGAGGGACCGCGCCAGCGCGGCGCCCGGCCCCGACGCAGCGGCACGGCGAGCCCGGCCCGCCCGGCGGAGACGCTCGGGCTGCTGCGGGGGGAGCCCGCTTCCGGCCGCACGGCCTTCGCGGCAACTCCCTCCCCGGAGAACCGCAGGGTTGGTGCTTGGGCACCGAACGCAGGAAACGGCCTCGTCGGCAGGGAGCGAGGGAGCGGGCAGGACGGGCCTGGCTGAGGCTGCGCTCGACTCGTGCCGCGCAGCTCTCCGGTGGCAAAAAAGAGCTCCCCCTGTGGTACTTGTCATTCGTAGTCCTCAAACGTATGAGGAATACGTCAAAGTACAAAGTCTGGTGTATTTTTCAAATAACCGAAATTCAGTTTCATAGCAATCATTTCACTCTGCAAACTTTGCCAGCAGAACAAACGGACCTCTGAAAACTTTGCTGCCACCTTCAGGTAGCAGTCGCAAAAAAAAATCTGCAAGCTTCTACCCCATGGAAAAAAAGTCACGTATAAACTGCTAGTTTGAATGTAAGCCAGTGTAGGCATGAAATTATGTGTCATCCTGGTGTCTAAGCCTTATATATTTTTTTCCTAATCAAAAGAGAATATTCCTTCTAACAGCAATATGGCTGGAGAGGTTAACATTTTATTAATGTTAACCAGATAAAAATAAACCAGCCATGGTCAACATATAGACAGGTGAGGAGGATATTTTAAGAGTGTATTCCTTATACTTCTGTACTGCACCCAAAGCAATAGCAACAGAATTTCCAAAGAAGATCTGTAGATTAAATATAACAGATACTTCAAAAATTATGGACTTGCTATAAAATGGGTGTAGAGGTCTTTTCCAAATGTGGAATCAGTTTGGATTGAGACATTGCAAAGCTGGTTAAAGAAAAAGACAGAACTACCAATTTCAGTAATTAGTTTGGTGTTTATGACATAAAGCAAGTTCTCGGTACTTAAAATCAAGTGGAAATGATTTGCCATTCTGATTTCTACAATCTACATTAAAAGGTTAATACTTACCTAACCGAACAAAGTATTTTAAGATGGAATTCTATAAAAACATTTTTAAATGCTTTATTAAAGTTAGGATGCTCCGATAGAAATGAAAATATACCATATAAACCCATGAACAAGAGAACTTACACAATTTGGTTTCCTGTGGCTTCTTTCTGTGGAGGTTCTGTAATGCCTGAGATACTAGTTCAGTTTATGTTAGAGCCTCCCCCAAGTCCAACCATAGCAGAGCCTGTCTCTAGACAGAACCTTTGTCTAGAAAGCAGTATGCCTTAAAACTCAATGCTAGGATTTTTCATTCTATTTACCTGTGTTACCAATGTTCCAGTCATTTATTTTCTTTCCCTTCCTTCCTCCAGATAGATGTAGGGTAAAAGCTGGGAAGGGTAAAAGAAGAGGACTGTGTTTGGATTTGCAAAACATTTGTTTTAACTTTGCACTAGGCAAGCCGTTGATGAACATTTCCAAAGCTGAAGAAAATGGAGAGACTCAAACCTAAAATATTGAACTACATTTTGATTTTTATTTTTGTGTTCTTTCTCTCTGCATGTTGGACAGAAGTTGGAGCCTGGACTCTTTTGGTTTGTTTTGTAGCAACTTTACAATGAGCCAGGTAGGTTTCAGACAACCTCTGCAGTTAATTCCTCATTCATTAAAAAGTTGTATCAGAGTGAAACCAGTTAATAAACAAACACTCCAAGAGTGCAAAGCAGAACTGCACTGTTGCATCAGCACCCTGGAAAGGAGTCCAGCTTTCAGGTTGTAAATTTATTCTAGAGGTTGCAGTTTTTGCCTGGGCTTACATCCTAGATTTTTAGATTATTTATTTATTTATTTATAACAAAAGCCCCTATGGTTTAACACCAGGTTAGCTTAGGTTCATTGCTACTACAATTGTATGATTAGGCACTTGTGTAACAGTACACTGTATACAAACTTACTTGAAACCTGACTGATTTTTATTTATTTATTTTTTTAAATGCAAGTGATTTGCTATTTTATTTTTTAAACTATTTTTAGTGTCTTACTTAGTGACTTAGTGATTTTTCTATATTGCCATCTCTTCCTATGCACTGTGTTGTTTTTTTCTCCCTGGAAATTGGGTTACAAAACAATCTAAACAGGATTTATGCATAGCTTTTCCTAATAAAATAGGTTTTTTGTTTGTTTGTTTTTGTTTTGTTTTTTTTTTTTTTTAAAAAAAGGAGAGAAACCAAAAAACAAAAAATCCAAGGTTTTAGTGGTTATGGAATACTACCATTACTATAACAAAATGTAACAAGTCACTCCCCAGTAAACACATACTTTGGGCTAAAAGCAGAGATCAAACAGATCCCATGCATCTGCACTGCTATTCTGGAATGCAATTTCTCTCCCAAAACTGACTTCTGAGGAGAGAATCCTAAGAAAGGCTTGGTCACAGGAAATAAATTACTATGTAGGTTTGCCAGAGAGTTAAGTCAAACAACTCAATTCTTGGCCATCAAAACTAGGAACAAAATTGAAAGTCAGGGTCATGCTATAAAAAACAAGAACTTTCTCTAGGAAAAGTTAGGTTTATTTATGCTTTTAAATATTAGCTTAGTCAAACTTCCAAACTTTTGGTTAATGACAGTTTTTAGCTGGATACGCCTTCCACTGATTTAAGCTCCAATTTTGCACTCACGGGTTTCAGAGAGTATTAGAAGCTACAGGCTAGGTTCTGGCCTTTTTAATCATGTTGATTAGTACTGAATTAACAGTAGTGCTGTTTAGAAAACAATATGGTTTATGATGTCAAGTACAATATAGCATCACTGGAATTGGCAGAGAGACACAGTCATTAAATGAAACTATTTCTGGGATGTGAAGACACCAAGACGCCATTACACACAGGAAAAAATAGTCTTGTCTGAAGTGCTGTTAGCTCCTGAAGGTGGAAATGAGGGAAGTGAAACATTACTAAGAGTTTACCTATGACATCAAAGTACAATGCGTTTCCATGAGAAAGAAAAGATTCAGCAAGGCTTCATAATTGATAACAGTGATCGTGTTAAACAGTAAGTACTTTATACACAACGCTTGGACCCCAAGAGATATGCTCTCATTTACCCATCTATTTCAGTATAGGATGCACTTATATTGACATGGGTAATGACATCTTAAAGGATTTTACCCATAGAATGTAAGACAGAATTTTTCAGACTGGAGAGTAATCTGCTACAAATATGGTTAAATAACAGAGAACAGAGTATGCATTATGTTATAAATATAACAAGCCAGTAGAGAGTCTGCAATTTTTTTACTCCAATGTTATAATTGTAATTGAATAGAAGCAAGATCATAGTTATCACTGACTGAAACAACTGTCAGAACATATTTAATTAAAGGCTTAACTGTTCAATTAAGTTTTTTGTTTTTGTTTTTTTTTTTAGTTCAAGAAACTGGCAGGTAACATGCATTTCAAAAGCCAACCTATGGTAATTATGGTAGAGCAACCTTCATCTGAAGACTATTAAACACCATTCAGTGGAGCAGAAAATTTTGTGAAGGAGTGTAAAGACTTAAAAGTCTGTGGCTTACAGACCGTGCAACATGTACTCATGTGACTACAATACTCTTCCAGGTTTAGGTAACCATTAGGAAGTGAAGACAAATTTAAGATTAAATGTCAAAAAGTCACAAAGCATTTTATACTTTTCTTTAATAAGTTGGTTAAAAATATGTCAGTCTTCTATTCTTAGGACACTGAGAACACAGCTGAGTATGAGGTCTGTCCTTTGCCAGGATCAATATGCTTTGAACTTTAGAGTAACATTCTGGAAGGAGTATCTTCACTAAGGTATTGCTTGTCACTTTAAGACATTTTTAAAGGTGCTTTAAAGAAAGAACTTTGAAGTGAGCCAATGGGCTTTATTTAAACTTTAAAGGATGCTTAGAACAAATGCTAAAAAACATGCAGTATTGAGTTGGAGTGTTATTAGGAGAAGCATTTCTGTTGTTCAATATTATTAGCCTGTCAGTCTCTTATTCCAGAGAGTAGGCTCTTTAATTCCATGACACATTTATGTCTGCCACCAAGTCCATAATGCTAATAACCATGAGTTTTTGATAAAAATGAATCATGTTAGTGAAATCATTGGGGCTAAATATAAAAAACAATATTTTTTTTTATCTTATCACCACATCAATTGCCTGACTTAAGAGAATCAGGAAAAATAGATTTTCCTAGTCTTGTACAGGAACATATAAATGTACTTGAAATATCACTGCACTTACTTATACAGCTGAAGAAAAGAGTGCTAGAATTGCAAGGCCCCTGGTAATGAAGATGTTATGATTAGTGAGAGTCCTTCCTGCTGGCAAGTAAAACTTTAAATATCCTGTATAAACTCACCCACAAGCTCACCCACCCATGATGAAAATAACTTTAATTCTTGGTCATTGCAAAGGTGGTGCACAAATAGTTCTAGTTTCATGGATGCTTACATAAATATTTGGCAAAATATAAACCCTCTCTTTAGTTGCATGCTAGCCAGTCTGTCAATGCATATAGTTAAGATTATATAGCATTCAGGCAAACAGAAGTGCTGAACTCCTTAGGAGGCAAATCTAAATATACCTTATGTAGACAAGTCTCTTAACCTCCATATGTCAGGCCTACACTAGAATGTTTGAATTTTATGTCTAACATGTATACTTAAGTAACTTGAAGAAACCTAGAACTCATTGAATAATTACACAACAGTGTAGAGCACACCTCGACATGTTCCTTGTGTTATATTCATATTTTTTTTCTTGTTGTATTGCAGAGTTAAAATCTTAATTAAAATATTTTGAGTAATTGCCATACTTTGAGCCTTTTCACAGGCCACTTTATATACACTATAAATAAGAAATGTTAAGCTACCTCTCACCATAATAATTGCTGAGCTGTCTGATCTTCCAGTTTAACCACTAAAAAAAAAAAAAAAAAAGAAAAAAGAAAATGAAAAAAAAAAAAAAAAAGAAAAAAAAAGAAAAAAGTCTCAGGATCAGATCCTAGATTAATTTTGCTGTCTCTTGAGATCAGTATAATACTTTTCACTTTTCATTTTCTTAAATGTGCTTTGGATCACCCCATCTATAAGATTTGCTTTGGAAATTCAAGAGAAGAAATCTAGGTTATTGTACCAGGATGCTAGTCTTGTACTAAGATACTTTCCTTTCATAAACACCTTTCCAAACAGAACAGAAAATACAAGTATTATT